AACGGTGCTCCTTATGCAGCGTTATGCAATAATAACTCTTCTGGCTCCCATTCCAATTTGGCTCAAGGACAGACCTTGGGAAACTGGGGACTCCCTGGGGAGGATTATCTCGTTGCTTTTCTCCTAAGTTCTGAATAGCTCTTGATGTTAAATGAGGCAACAGTCTATATTTGTCTGTCTTCCCCCAAAGCCTTTGTGAAATCCTTCCAATAACTTCAGTTCCATTTCCAGGGTGAATATTTCATATCAAGATGGCCCCAGTTGGGGAACTGGACGCATCTGGCTCCTTGAACCCCTCACTGCTCCCAGACCTCCCCAAAGGGCCACTTTGCGCATACCGGAAGAAGGCATCCTTCAGGTGGAAGGAGTTGGCCCTCTTCATTGAGGAGGAAGACCTGATCCGTTTTAAGGTGAGGATCAGCAGGACTAGGAAGGAAGCCCGGCCTGTTCCGTGAAATGATTGTAGTCCCCATGGGTGCCCCATGTCAGGAAATGTTGGTTGTTCAAAAAGAGACCAAGAGGCTTCTCTCATGAGTAGAACCGTCTTGATAGTTTCTAAAGGCTGGACCACTGATTGATTTTCTTTTTCGTGCGTGTGTGTGTGTAAAAAAAAAAAACCCTCTCACCCCTCTGGGTGGTCTGTGTCTTCCTCAATCTCAGGTCCTCTGCCAGAGGCCTGGGAGTTGGAGGGTTCTGCACAGGATCTTGGCTGTTCCTGGCCCTGTGCTCTTCTGGACAGAGATCTCCGATGTTGCTCCTGGGATCTGTTGGAGTCACAGCCCCGAGTGCTCCTACCACTGCTGGGACCACTTTGGCCTTGACTTTCCACATCCTCTCTAGTTCCTCCTTCAGACCTGACCCTTCTCCAGCTTCTCATGCTCCTCCTCCCTGATCTTGCTGTCACTTGGCACCGCTGCATCGATCACCACCGCTGTCTTCTGGTCCTTGTCTACTAGTGAGCGACCGGATAGCGTAGTGGTTAGAGCACTGCCTTTGACACGGGAGACTGGGGTTGACATCCTGGCTGGTATCTACCTTACCAGTAGGAGTCCTTGGACAAAGACCCCTTAACGCTTCACCTGCCTAGCTCAAATATGAGATTGATACGAATTAAGAGAGTCATGCTGGCTTGGATGTCGCCCGGATTAACAAGGTCCACGTCGGATGTTGGGGAACCAGGACAATCTGATGATAAGTGGGCTACTACGTAACCACAGGTAGACGAGACAAGAGAACCTGAATTGATAGATGGATAGATATAAAATTTTATTAAAGATTTTTAAAAAGGAAGATAAAAACTAATACAAACTAATATAAAATAAGAAAAAGAAAATAAGAAAGCAAAGAGAAAGCTAAAAGTGCAAGAAAGGAAAAAAGTAAAAGAGAAAGAGAAAGAGAAAAGAAAGAAAAAAGATACAAAGAGGTGGCTTCCAATCTTTTTTACAGCAGTTATAAGTACAATTATAAATTTACGTCTTACTCTGTGGTTACAATATAACTCTCTTCTTCCTATAATCTGTCCTGTGTAATCACCAAACCATAATCATAAATTCATTTTTTTTCTGTTTTATTCAAAAAGTCCATAAGGGGTTTCCAAGTCAGCAATAAACATAGGTATTGTTTTTTCTCTGATCAAAGAAGTCAGTTTAGCCATCTCAGCAAGTTCCATCACCTTCACCAACCATTCCTCCATTGTGAGTAATGCCAAATCTTTTCATCTTATCAATCATACAATAATCTTATACAATAGTACAATAATAATAATTAATCTTGCTGCAGTTATCATATACAAAAACAAAGTTCTATAACTTTTTTGCAACTGGTGTCCATCAGTCCCAGAATAAAAGCCTCTGGTCTCAATTGTATATCAATCTTTAAAATCCTCCGAATCAGTTTGTGTACAGGTAGTCCTCGCTTAACGACCATTCGTTCAACTACCGAAGTTACAATGGCGCTGAACGAAGGGACTCACAACCTGACTGAAAGTTATGGCCAGTTGGGCCCTGGGCAGTCGGTTTGCCCTTACGACCGGTTGCCAAGCGCCCTGCGATCATGTGATCACCATCTGCAATCTTCCCTGCCACCTCTCAGGAAAGTCAGTGGGGAAGCCGGCAGGGAAGGCCATGAGCTGCTGCCGCCCGCCGAGAGGACTCCCTCTCATCTCTGAGGACTGCCTGAAAACACTGTGCTGAAATCCAAGCAGGATGTTGGCACCGGGCATTTTCAAGCAGCCGCCAAAATCCTGCTTGGATTTCAGCACGAAGCTGTTCAAGGCAGCCTGCAAAGCTCCGTACGCTAAACAGAGCTATAGTCCCTTGTTGAAGTCAAATCTTGTCCCTCTTTAGGCTTTAATACTATATTGGCCTCTTTCCAACCCTCTGGCCTCTTTCCTCCCTGTAAGATAGAATTCATAGTAGTCTGTAAAGGTTCCATTTATAATAAGAACCTGATAATCCATCTGGTCCAGGCACCTTTCCT